AGCCTGGTCTACAGAGTGAGTTCTAGGACAGCTAGGGCTAGAGAAACCCAATGGCAAAAAAAAACAAAAAGGAAAGAAAAAAAAAATTGCTCCAGAAAGAAATTAAGATAATATATATCAGGACAGCATAAAATAAAAATAGGGGCATGGAAATTAAAGAACACAGTGGTACATAAATGAATCTGGGAATAGTGCTAAAAGGGCCTGCTGTGGCTTTTGAACGCTGGCACCAGTGCTGTCTATCTTCTAGGAAGTGACACGCTCAGCTCTGTTTCCAGTAGAGGAAGAAAGACATCCAAACAGGTGCGCGAGAGCGCGCAAACACACACACACACACACACACACACACACACACACACACACACACACACACACAGGTTTAAACCCTTCTTAACTCAACAGACTTTAACATTTCCTCTATAAAGTATACTTAAAAATGCTGAAGTTGAGGTTGTAGATAATTCTATCTTATTAGTCAATTCTGTAGTATAATTATAGAAATAATTTTGTAAAAACCTGTGTGTCACCATGGTATAGTGATGTATAATATTGTGTATCCACACTCACTCTTTAAACAACAGTATAGATAAGCACACTTAGAAGTTGGAGTGCAATCAAGAAATTACAGTTCAGTGTGCTAATTTAATGTTGAAAGTGCTCTTAGCCTTTGCCGTGGATGTTCCTGTACTAAACTGAAAATTTTCAGAGCTGGCTACACTGGAAGGGCTCAGAGCCTGGGTCCTGCATTGAGATGTTGTTGCTTATCTCACAGGGATGGGTGCAGATCAAATGGAAAGCATGATTCCACTGAAGGACTTTGGGAATGCCGAAGATTTATGTCGGATTGAGATGATATTAATTGTTTTTGGCACAGGAAAAAAGTCAATCAGAATATTTGAAGCTCATCCAAGAAAAAGAGCAGCAAGATTCCTTGGCTCTAGAAGAGTTAGAGCTGCAGAAAAAAGCAATCCTTTCAGAGAGTGAAAATAAACTCCAGGAACTTGGGCGAGAAGCAGAGGTTTACCGAACTGTGAGTTCACGTGCTATTTGGGCTCCAGTGCTGGGGATGCCTGTGTCTGTGGGAACTGTCCCCAGAATTGGGAGTGTGTGTGTCTATAGGGACTGTCCCCAGAGATGGGGGATGTGTGTGTCTCTGGGGACTGTCCCTGGAGCTGGGAAGGCATGTGTCTGTGGGGACTGTCCCCAGAATTGGGAGTTTGTGTTTCTGTGGGAACTGTCCCCGGAGCTGGGGATGTGTGTATCTGTGAGGACTGTCCCTGGAGCTGGGGATGCATGTGTCTATGGAGACTGCTCTATCCAGTCAGCATCAGGCTCTGATAAGCTTCTGGCTTGTGGGGTTGGGTTTATGTACACATGCTCTTCATCTTTAATGAGAAGTGTTCATGGGAATACTTTTGGGCTTTGGATTCTCTTTGCCACATTGTCCTTGGTTTGCTCCCAGCTCCCCATGTTTCTGGCAGGTCTTGACTCTGCCTCTTAGCACAAGGACTCTGCAATGTCTCCCTCTACTCTACTGCTTATCCACCCTTGGTCACTAGGAAGTGGCCTCACTTTGTCAGCAGGCATATATTCTGACACCTTCCTACTTGTCTGGGTTCATCATACAGTGTGTCCTAAATATAATCCATGCTCTACCTTTGTCACAGTTAAAACCTTACCCATTTTTCATAGTGGTTCTGGAGTGAAGCGTTTGTGTGTGTCTGCATGGTTTTACGGTCTCTGGCCTCTCCTCAGTGGTAGAGGCGTGCTGCCACAGTAGAGGTGCTGACGGCATTTAGGTCCTCCACTATGTAGTCAACAGTCGCAGTCTTCCACATTGTCAGCCTTCTTCGATTCCCTTTACCCACGCCTCAGGCATGTGTGCAGCTGGTGGGCACCACGACACTGAAGCACTCGCTTGTTTGGAAGTGCGTTGCATCCCACTTTCTTTGCCAGCCACCGAGACATTGGGCTTGTCAGTTTCTTAGGACATTCCCAGCTCTGATGTTCAGAGTGAAGGTTAATACTTTGTGAGATAACAGAAACCTTTGGCAAAATATGTTTAAGAAGTGTCTTTAAAAAAAAAGAAAAAACATGCTAGGCAAGTGAGATGGCTCAGGGCAAAGTGTTTGCTACATAGCCTGGCCATTTCAGCCATATCTTGAACCCATAGTAGAGGAAGAGAACGAATCCCCAAAGATCTCTGGCCTTCATAGCTGGTGCCTACCCCCCCCACCCCCCACCCCCGTTGCTTTCACACACACACAATAAAAATTTTAAGTTTTACAGTCTATGCCTTTGGGAATAGAAAAATGAGATACTTTTTCCTTCAAAGTTACATTATGAAAGCAATAAAATGTTATTGTAACCTAAAAGCATGGAGTATGGAGGCCAATCATCCTACCAAGCTCACTGCCATTATTATTTGTTTTGTGATTTCTTTTTTTATTTTCCCATTAGAATATTTTTGAAAATAGAGATAGTTGAAATGGTTACCCAAGTATATAGAGCAAACACAGAACTGAGTTTGAGTTCGTGATTCCGTTTGTGACTGAGCACGGTGTATTGTCTGCCCTTTCTTATGTGCACCCGTTTTCATCAACAGAGAATACTTGAATTGGAAACCTCCTTGGAAAAAAGCTTACAAGAAAGCAAAACTCAGTCAGAGCATTTAGCTGTTCATCTGGAAGCTGAGAAGAATAAGCACAGTAAAGAGCTCACAGCCATGACTGAGAAGCACAGGGCAGAGCTGGAGCGTCTCCAGCAGCAGCAGGACAGCCTGTGGGCTGAGAGACTCCAGGGTCTCACACAGCAGCATCAGACTGCAGTGGAGCAGCTGAGAAAGAAGTATGAACAAGATAAAGACGCCTTACTAAAGGAGAAGGAGAGTCTTTTCCAGGCCCACATACGAGACATGAATGAAAAGACCTTGGAGAAGTTGGACGTGAAGCAGACAGAGCTGGAATCACTATCTTCGGAGCTGGCAGAAGCACTGAAAGCCCGTGAGCAGCTCGCTGAGGAGCTTTCTGTTTTGAGGGGTGATGCAGAGAAAATGAAGCAGGCTTTAGAGGCCGAGCTGGAGGAGCAGAGGCGGCACCACCAGCACGAGGTCGACAGCATGAGTAAGGAACAAGAAATAACTGTCCAGAGAACCGAGAAGACCCTGAAAGATGAACTCAACCAGCTGGGGCTTCTCCTGAAGGAGAGAGACGAACACCTGAAAGAGCAGCAGGCTCGAATAGACGATCTTGAAGCTCATCTTCACAAGTCTGCTGGGGAGCTGCAGCAGGCCTTGGCTAAGCTGGACCTCCTACACTCACAACAGAGCACCACACATGAGCAGATGGGCCTGTATGAGGAGCAGCTGGCCCAAATGCGGCAGAAGGTGTTGGATCTGGAAACAGAGAAGAACCTTCTTACCAAGCAGGTAGCTGACCTGGAAACACAAGAAAAGCACATGTGTATGGAACTAGACACTCGGAGAGCACAGGCACAGCAGCTTGAGGAGCAGAAGCGTGAGCTGGAGGAGAAAGGCAGATCGTTAGCCCAGCTTCACGAGTCACAGCTCAAGGACAGTCACATGGAGAAGGAGGAGACAAGGCAAATCCTGATGGAAAAGGAAAATGTCATTTTACAAATGCGAGAAGAAATCGAGGCCCTCAAACAGAAATTGTCTTCCAAAGAAGAAAGTATTAGTATTTTGCATGAGGAATATGAAACCAAATTTAAAAATCAGGAAAAAAGGGTGGAAAAAATTAAGCAGAAAGCAAAAGAAATGCAAGAAACAAAGAAAAAGTTGTTGGATCAGGAAGCCAAACTTAAGAAAGAGCTTGAAAATACCGTCCTAGAGCTCAGTCAGAAAGAGAAACAGTTCAATGCCCAAATCCTGGAAATGGCACAGGCCAACTCAGCGGGGATCAGCGACACCGTGTCAAGACTGGAGGCCAACCAAAAGCAGCAGATTGAAAGCCTGACCAAAGCTCACCAGCGAAAACTTGATGACGTCACAGAGTGCTGGGAAAAGAGACTCAGTCATCAGGCTGAAGAATTGCGGGACCAGCATGAGCGGCGCGTAGAGGAGAAGGAACAAGAGCTGACAGAGCTGAAGCAGAAGCTGCTCACACTGGAGTCTGAAAAAGAGGAGGTGAGCAAGGCAGCTGTGGGGCTGAAGGAGGCGGCTGCTAAGCAGGGTGCGGTGCTCACACGTCTGCAGGAACAGCTAGAGCAGAAGTCTGCCCACATCGGCTCACTTTCTCAGAAGGAGGCGCAGTTGCAATCACAAGTTGAAAAGCTGGAGATGGATCTGGGTTGTTCTCTGAAGGAGAAGGCTTCTCTGGAGAAGGAGCTGGCGGACCTGAAAGTGCTGAGTGAGAGGGGGAGGCTCAGGGTCTCTGAGCTTCTGAGCAAGGTGCAGGCTGCAGAGGAGGAGCTCCGCAGCTGCAGGGCTGCTCAGGACAGCAGTAGGAAGAGCCTAGAGGACAAAAGCTTGACCCTCAAAACCCTGCTTGGGGAACTCGCATCTCAGTTAGACAGTCGCTGTGAGAAAACCAAAGCTTTGTTAGAAGCTAAAACAAATGAACTGCTCAGCGTCAGCGGTGACAAAACAGATGCCATTCTCTCTAGGCTTTCGCGCTGCCGGCAGCACACCGCCACAGTTAGGGAGGCACTGCTCATGAAAACAGGCCAGGTCTCTGAATTAGAAGCACAGCTTAAACAGCTGACAGAAGAGCAACACACACTCAAGAGCTCTGTTCAACAGGTCACCCATCAGCTGGAAGAAAAAGAAAACCAGATTAAGGCCATGAAGGCTGATATCGAGGGTCTCGTCACAGAAAAGGAAGCCTTGCAGAAGGAAGGAGGCCAGCAGCAGCAGGCGGCCTCTGAAAAGGAGTCTTGCATCACACAGTTGAAGAAAGAGTTATCAGAGAACATCAATGCTGTTACACTACTGAGAGGAGAGCTTTCGGAGAAGACGGCTGAGATTGACAGCCTTCGCACACAGCTCAGTGATCTCAGTGCTCAGCTGGAGAACAGCGTCAGCCTAAGTGACAAAGCAGCAGCCATGTCGTCACTGAGCAAGCAGCATGAGGAGCGACAAATGGAGCTGCAGGGTCAGCTGCAAGAGCTGTCTCTGAAAGTCGACACTCTGAGTAAGGAGAAAATGTCTGCTCTTGAGCAGGTAGATCATTGGTCCAACAAGTTCTCCGAGTGGAAGAAAAAAGCCCAGCCCAGATTCGCACAGTACCAGAGCACTATTAAAGACTTGCAGACACAGCTTGACGTGAAAGCCAAGGAGGCTGCTGAAAAGGGTGAGCAGATACAGCTGCTGAAGGAAGACCTTGATCAGCAGAATGAAAGACTGGAGTGTTTAAAGGCTGAGGTGGCAGACAGGAAGAACGAGATGGAGACGAAGGAGCGGGACTTAGAGGCCGAGTTAAAGGTGCAGGCGGCTCGGGTTGTTGAGTTAGAGGACTGCATTGCTCACAAGAGGAAAGAAGTTGAGTCCCTAAATGAAATACTTAAGAATTCCAACCAAGAGAAGGACACTGAGCGGAATGAACTGGTTCAGAAACTTCAACACTTTGAAGAGCTGGGAGAGGAGAAAGACAACAGGGTTAGGGAGGCTGAGGAAAATGTCCTGAGACTAGAAAAGCAAGTGTCCTCCCTGGAGACTGAACTTGGAATTATGAAGAAAGAGCTAGAACATGTGAGTTCAAGTGTGAAAAGCAGAGACGGGGAGTTAAAAGCTTTAGAGGACAAGCTCGAGTTAGAAAGTGCCTCAAAAGTGGAGCTGAAGAGGAAGGCGGAGCAAAAAATCGCTGCCATCAGGAAGCAGTTACTGTCTCAGATGGAAGAGAAAAAACAGCAGTATGAAAAAGATACAGAAAGCCAGTTGAGTGAGCTGAATGCAAAATTACAAGACAGAGAAAAGCAAATTCACATCCTGGAAGAAAAACTTAAAAACCTAGAAAGTTCTCTACAATCGGAGACAGTGATTATGTCCAGATCCATACAAAATGTGGCAGCATCTTCCGAACAAGAAGCAGCAGATTCCCAAGGCTGTACGCACAAGGCGTGTGAAGAAAGGATCCTCGCACTACAGAGAAGATTAGTTGAAAAAGAGAAGCTGCTGCACAGGTTGGAGCAGGGCACAGGTGAGTCGAAGTTCTCTCTGTCTGAAATGCAGTTCTCCATGAAGTTAGACCACACCCAAGCCAAACAACTGGACGATCAGATTTTGATAGGACGTCTTCAAGAAGAACTCGAAGAAAAGAAGATGAACTGTTCCTTCATTGCATCCCAGCCCATGGAAGAAGAAACTGGTAAAAACAATACAGGAATGAAGCAAAACTGGGCAAGTGTGGTTGACAGTGTCCAGAAAACCCTCCAGGAAAAGGAGCGAACCTGCCAGACCCTGGAACAGAAGGTAAAAGAACTGGAGTCAGACTTAGTAAGAGAGAGGGACTCACATAGACTTGAATTGGAGACGTTGACCTTAAAATACGAGAAATCGCAAGCCTCACAGCAAGAAATGGATGGGAAAAATAAATCTGTGGAAATTTTGGAAGATAGTTCTGAGGAAAATTCCAAATTGCAGGTGATCCAACCGAAATTGGGGAATAACATGGACACCCAGCGTAATGACCTGGAGTTAAAGTTAGCAGGGGCAGAGCGGGAGAAGCAGAAGCTGAGCAGGGAGGTGGCTAGGCTCCAGAAAGATCTTCGTGTGCTGAGAAAGGAGCACCAGCAGGAGCTGGACATCCTGAAGAGAGAGTGCACGCAGGAAGCGGAGGAGAAGCTCAAGTGAGTGCTGTTCCCACCTGGGTGGGTGGGTGCTCGCACGCACACACAGTCTGTAATGGAGACACGTGTATCTTCCCAAAGCGTTGCATAGATCCAGTAAGTTAAATGCTAAGGAGAAATGAAAATTTGGGGCAGAAGGCAGTGTTATTCCATGTTCATTAAGGGGACACACCTTGTCTTGCGGGTAAGATCGCAGCTGCTGGCTGCCTTGTCTTGAGTAATGGTCTCATTGTTGGCTGTCTTTAGCATAACACTGTGACAGTAACATTCATGTGTAGTGAAGAAGTTTAAAGTGGGAAAGAGCCGCTCCCCCGGCCCCAGGGTCAGTCACTGGAGGTAGTCAGGGTTTCGGTATCTCTAGTTTTCTCTACCTGGACACACTCACACTCAAAATTGCCTCCCTAACAGTGAGAGCACATTGTGCAAACTGCTTTGAAACCTCTTTGTAACTTGCTCTTTGGAGGCAGCTGTCACCGCTGTCCACTCTTGTTACTCAGACAGGAGCAAGAGGATCTTGAGTTGAAACACACTTCCATCCTGAAGCAGCTGATGAGGGAGTTTAATACCCAGCTGGCACAGAAGGAGCAGGAACTAGAAAGGACCATTCAGGAGACCATCCGTGAGTACAGCTTTGAACCTGGCAGGAGACCACCCTCGGCTGAGTCCACTGTTGCTAGAGTTTTCTTGTCCCGCCCGGTCCCACCAGCCCTCTCAGCCCCATGGAAACACACGGATGCTATATTAGTTATAAAATTGTGGCCGATGGCTAGGGCTTCTTATTGGCTAGCTCTAACTTAATTATTAACCCATTTCTACAAATCTATGTATTTCCATGTGGTCTTGCCTGACTGGAAAATGCCCAGACCTGTTACTCCATTCAGCTACATGGTGTCTCTTCACGGTCCCTCTGACTACCTTTCCCAGAACTCTTCTCGTCTCCTAGTCCTGCCTATCTTCCTGCCTCTATTGGCCAAACAGTGTTTTATTCATCAACCAATAAGAGAAACATATACACAGAAGGTCATCCCCCATCAGTCCACAGCCTGTTCTGTTTTTGCCCTTGTGGTAGGTGTGGTGTGCCGTTAACTAGAGGGAAATTGGAAAATGGTCCGTGTCCAAGAAAGGGCTCTTCCAGGGTCTCTAGGAAGTTCTCAAACCTGCCTCATACCTCACCATGCCCCTTCTGCTGAATTTCATGAACATTGATTTGAAATGAGAATTCCTACTGCTGTTGGCATGTTGACAGTCACGATGTGTTTTCTCCTGTGTGTCCCCTGTCCTGTAGTAGAGATAAACAGTCACGATGTGTTTTCTCATGTGTGTCCCCTGTCCTGTGCTAGATAAGGCCCAGGAGGTGGAAGCTGAGCTTCTGGAGAGCCACCAGGAAGAGACGCAACAGTTGCACAGAAAGATTGCGGAGAAAGACGATGACCTGAAAAGAACAGCCAGGAGATACGAGGAGATCCTTGATGTACTTACTTTAATTATCTTTTGAAATAGTCTGTGTTTTATGGGAGTGCTGATTTCAGATGTAGAGATATTTTTTTTTAAGATTTTTTTTTTTATTTATTTATTATGTATGCAACACTCTGCTCCATGTCTATCTGCACACCAGAAGAGGGCACCAGATCTCATAACGGATGGTTGTGAGCCACCATGTGGTTGCTGGGAATTGAATTCAGGACCTCTGGAAGAGCAGTCAGTGCTCTTAACCTCTGAGCCACCTCTCCAGCCCCAGATGTAGAGACATTTTTTTCCTTTGACAGAAACTAGACTAAAGTGAGGCTTTGAGGTATGGCTGAGGTCTGGGAACCAGAGCAGTTACAGTGTCTAAGGCTTAGATGGGGTCTTCCCAGGACGGCCAGCCAGCCCATTCCTTCTCCACTCATTCCAGAGTTTTGATGGTCCAGGGTGGGGGTGGGCTGGGAAAGAAGGGAATTTGTCAGCTAAGTGCTTAGTGGATGGGTATTGGAAAGTGCTTGCTCTAATGGCACTGCATTAGCAGAATAAAATAAGCCATGAATGCTAGTAAGAAATTTGGACCCTAAGAATGTTTTCAGATATAAAACAATGTCAATTATTCTCTGTAAGGCAGTTACTCCAAGCCTTACTTCATCATACGCCAAGAAATATTTGTTGTTCTGGAAGAGCCATAGCCTTCAACTGACTGTGAAGCAGTACACATGTGAGCTAGAACAGATTGTAGTAATCATTATTTTAAATGTAATTGAATTGAGTTAAATTATAGAATATGGAATGTCAGTCAAGTTTGTGTAATTTGTAAGCTTTAATTCTCATTGGAAAAATTGAAAAGTATTTGTAGATTTTCTTGTACTTTCAAAGTATATTTATGTTAAGTTTTTAAGAATCCAGCCAGGGGGCTGGAGAGATAGCTCAGTAGTTAAGAGATTTTACTGCTCTTGCAGAGGATCCAGGTTCTAGTCCAAGTACCTCTCTGGTGGCTCACAGCTAACTGTAACTTCAGTTCCGCAGGATCTAGTTCCTTCTTCTTTCCTCTATGGGCCTGCACATTCCCAGTACACATAAATTCATGGACACTTGCATGCATACGATATAGCTAATCTTATGTAGGCACATACACATGAATAATAAATTCATTTTTTAAAAAATCTGTTGAGGTGTTGGTGATACATGCCTGTAATCCTAGCACTTGAGAAGCTGAGTTAGGATCGGGAGTTCAAGGCCAGCCTGGGCTATATAAGAACTTGTTTAAAAATAAATAAATACAGTCACATCTTGACTCCTTATTGAATGTTTGATCATGCAGTGTACCTAGTATACCTGAGGTATGTACCTAGTTTAGTTTTATCATCTGGTATTTGCTATTGTGCTTTTGTTCTGTTTTGTTTTTGTACAGAAGGGAAGGCAGCCTTAGTGTAGTTAAGTGTTTGCATAACACAATATATTGAACTTTGGAGTAGAGAGTCATCATGACCTTTGCCTATTTCATAAATACAGATGTCTTTCCAAGGAAGGAACTTTAAGAAGGTAACAGCTGCCAGGCGGTGGTGGCGCTCGCCTTTAATCCCAGCACTCGGGAGGCAGAGGCAGAGGCAGGTGGATCTCTGTGAGTTCGAGACCAGCCTGGTCTACAAGAGCTAGTTCCAGGACAGACTCCAAAGCCACAGAGAAACCCTGTCTCAAAAAAACAAAAAGAAACAAAAAACAAAAACAAAAAAAGGTAACAGCTATTGATTGTGAGTAATCAGGCTGGGAGCTTCAGGGAAGGAACGAGCTCTTTTTTGTGATTCCTTCTCTGTATGTGGATATATGGGTCATTGTTGACTTTATTTCTGGGACCACCAGCCTCCCAAATAGTGACAGGGAGACTAATTAATTATGAAACCTTGGCTTTGGCTTAGGCTTGTTCACAACTAGCTCTTACAACTTCAATTAATCTATTTCTATTAATCTATGTTCTGCCATGTGATTCTGTACCACTCCCCCATTCTGTGTGCTCAACTCCCCCTGAATTTCTCGATCTTCCTGGAAGTCCCACCTAACCTCCCCTGCCTCGCTCTTGGCCGTTTAGCTTTTTATTACACCAATTACGGTGACACATCTTCACACAGTGTGAACAAATATCCTACAACAGGTCATTAGAAAGTAGACTGTTCACCATGATGAACCTCTGTAGGTGCAGGGCTGAGGGCCAGGAAGACAGGTAGCTACAGTGCTCTGGCAGCTGTGCGAAGGGAACTGGGAAACACACTCCAAGCTGCAGTTGTGGGGCAGTGGTGTGGGTGGACAGGAGGGAGGCGCACTCTTTCCCAGGCTCCTTCCTTAGCCTCACAGCCAGCTGGCATGGCCTTTGCATGTTTAATGTAAATCATACGACAGCCTCATTTAGTCATATTTTCTAGTCACCACGCTTTTAGGAAGGGGAGCTTTATTTTAATGGTATGCATCAACAGGCTCAACCCTTGTGAGCTCTTCCATGTTAAGTTAGCATGATGGGCAGACTCCAGGCTCTGAGGATCAGAGAAAAGCTGTTTCTTTCTCCTCTTCACCTCACTCCGTCCCCCTTTTCCCTTCTGAAAAGTTGCTGTCACATTGACCGTATACTGCTGCACTTTCTCAATTCTGATAGTTCTGTGGTGTGCTAATGGCCAGTTTAAGCACAAAGAATTTCATTTTTCCCCTTACTATCATAGATAGCATTTCTTTTTGTTGTGTGTGTTTTTGTTTTGTTTTGTTTTGGTTTGGTTTTTTGAGACAGGGTCCCATGTAGCCCAGGCTGACCTTGAACTGGCTTTGAACTTTTGGTCACCCAGCTTCTGCCTTCCAAGTGCCAGGATTGCTGGCTGTCCTTTAGAATAATGTTCTTATCTTCCACATCTGAAGAGTTGAGAAACTTGTTCCTGAATCACAGGTTCCTAAGCCCCTCACACAAGTGTGTCTCTGTAGTTAGGGATCTGCTTACATCCCCAGCATGGCATCTACTATACGCTGGACTCTTAAGATGCACTTTGTCATCGAGTTAGCTCTTGTCCCTCTTGTCTCTACCGATGCTACTACTGTGTGCTGCCTCTCCTCTGATCCAGTCTGCTGGGTGACCCCGCCTCCTGATCTCCTTGCTGCTGGGTCTCCTTCCCCTCCCCACGTGTCTGTCTGATGATACTGAAAGTGCCCAGAGATACTCCGTTTTCCTAGCAAAGTCTGTTCAGTTAGACTCAGGTTGAGTCTGTTCTTCACTCATTTAACTTTGCTCATGCTCTGGGTCTTTGTTACCACCCGTGTCATACATGTGTATAAGTGTGGTGGTTTGAATGAGAATTGTCCCCCAAGGCTCTTATGTAATTGGAGGCCTAAATTAGTCTAGATAATAAAAGGCCAGAGTCAGATATAGAGGGAAATGCTGAGAAAGAGCAAGCCATGCCACACCTTACCTCCTCATGTGATACTCCTCTGTTTGAATGTCTAATCCCTGGAGGATGTTTGAGTAGGCTAAGGAGGTGTGGCTTTGTTGAAGAAGGTAGGTCACTGGGAGTGGGCTCTGAGGTTTCAAAGCCCAAGCCAAGTGTAGTCACTGGATCTCTGCCTGCTGCCTGAGATCAGGGTGTGGCTCTCACTGCTGTCTCAGGGCCATGTGTGTTGCCATGCTTCCGCCATGGTGATAACGGACGGACTGTGAAACTAACTGTGAGCAAAGTCCCAGTTAGATGCTTTTAAGAGTTTGCTGTGGTCATGGTAACTCTTCACAGCAGTGAAGACAGTGGGGATGCCAGAGTCAGGTGTCTTCCTCAGCTGCTCTCCATCTTGCTTTCTGTGGTGTGGTCATGCACTGAACCTGAAATTCCGGTGGTGGATTGAACCCCAAGGTCTTCCCACTAGCATTGGAGGTATAGGCTTGTACCACCAAATCTGGCTTTTTGCATGAGTATGAACCTGAGTCTTCATGATTGTGACCTCTTTGTGCTGCATCTTTAAAAAGTTTTAAGCTTAATTTTAATTTAGAAAAACTTAAACACATTCACGTGTATATTTGAGAATGGTGTAAACTTTCATTCTTGTTTGTTGCTTTTAAAGAATATAATCAAGAAAATTAGAGTTCTCCACTCCTCTCTTCCTCTTTTTTTCCCCTTTTCTGATGAATTGGGGATTTATCGGACCTGGTACCTTGTTGTCAGTCCCCTACTACTGAGTCATCAACCAGATCCAGAACTATTTTTTGTTAGAGATGATTCGTTAGGGATTCTTCTCCAATTCTTAGAAGGCTGGCTTGTCTTAGCTTAGGTAGTAATTTGCAGCTATTGAAGGGCGTGTCGACATAGCTGAATGTCACCATGTGCCTGAGGAAGTAGCTGTGGAGCCTCTGCCACACTGACATGGGTAACCATAGGGATGTGCAGTGGCAGACTCAAGTCAGCCGTGACCAAGGACAGTCATAGCCCAGTTCCAGGTTGATGGTGTTGGAGGAGGGGCTAGGTCAGGGTGTGTCTCAGTGAGGAGACAGCTGAGCTCTGGCCAGCATATAACAGGGTCATGCAGGTTTGTTTCCCATTAGCCTTCTTCGTGAGAAGTGCTATTTAAAATCAGACTTTCTGTGTTGTCTGTGCCTAACCATCTGTCTGTTGTTGAGAATGGTGTCCCTCATGTTTCTGACAGGCGGTGACTGTTAAATGACCCTGTTGGTGGTTGTTTTCCTGTTATGTCTCATTCAGCACACACTCATATTCTTTACTCAAGTCAGATTGATATTCTAGCTCTAAATGTTCTTTAGCACAAAGCTCTTGCAAGATTTATGACCTAGGAGAGCTTAGTGTCCTTGGAACAGAACAGATGGTAACTTGTGTGTTAGAATTTCTGAGTAGGACTATGGGGACAAAAATCACCTATAAGATTTTTTTTTCTAGTTCAGTCTATTTTTTGTTTATTTATTTTTGCAATATTTTGGGAAAATGAAGATGATTGCACTGGTCACCAACATGTTAGATTAGTTGTATTATGATACTTACTGCCAACTCCACGTGGAGACAGGTGAAATGTAGACAAGCTTCAATGACCAACTCTCGAGTTACACAGCCCCTACATAGCTAGTGGAGAAAATGAAACCAGAGCATTCCACAGCTTCTTGTGATCAGTGGGTTGCCAGCTGTGTGAAAGACTACTTTATTTCCTGAATATAGGTAGGTACCTACTGTAGAAAGTACCCAAACCTTAAAGCACAGGACCTGTGACACTGTTAGACCCTCATGCTTGAGACCTGTTCAACCTAGGGTGAGAGGATGGCAGCAGGTTGGTGACCTTGGTGATGGATGGAGGGCAAGTAATGGGGCGCCACGGCGTCCTAGGAAGAGTGAGTAGCCTGAAGACTAGCCGGCTATGAGAGCAGAGGGATAAGAAAAACAGCTCTGTGTGTCTCACAGACTGCTGAGTGTTCTACACTGCTCCCCCTCTGCATGGTTTCCATGTTATTACCGCATTGCTATTTTCATTCTGAAGGCCCGTGAAGAAGAAATGACTTCAAAAGTAAATGACCTGCAGACTCAGCTTGAGGAGCTACAGAAGAAATACGAGCACAGACTAGACCAGGAGGAGAGTGCGGAGGACAATGTGAGAGGACTTTGAGTTTCTTCTTGTGGTTCTTGAAAACACCCCATTTCCCGGGTTTGCCTGGCCCATTGACACACCCTCATCTCATTTAATCCCTTTAAGGCCTCATGCTTTTCTTTTTCAGTCAGCACACTCACACCCAAAGAGGTCAACAGAATGTTCAGAGCTCATGTTAAGTGTTGTAGTGGAATTTAAATCCTAGACTTCCTGCTTGCTGTGCTTCCTGGGCTTCCACAGGCAATGTAGCAGAGCAGACTGAGCCTCACATCTTTGGGACAATATCAGAAACTGTCCACAGCAAATGGGACATACTGAGATTTTTGTGTTTGGGGCTATAAATTCTTTTTTAAAATGCTCTTTTAGTTTTTTCTTTTATTATATATTCCTTGACAATGACATACTTGAATATACTACATTTCTGTCACACCTACCCCTCCCCGTCCTCTTAGCCCTTCCTGCTCCCACAAGCCCTCCCTTTTCTTCCTGGCAAGTCCCCTTCCACTTCATGTCATTTTGTTTTGTGACCCTGATTTTAATCTGGGCCATCCCAGTGGCTGTGGGTATGAAGCTGCCCATTGATGTGTGAGTAACCGTTTATCAGTGGTTACACCACTGAAGGTAATGAGTGACTCCCTGCCCTAGCAGCATTCAACTGCCAGTAGTTTCTGGACATATTTAATCTGTCTTCTAATTATACTATATCCTTAGTTGTATTGCTCGAACATGGTGGTTTTTTAGTCGTTCTGTGCTAGTTCATCTTGGCTTGACTGCTGGACCAGACGCAGATGCAGATTCGGTGAGGTGACTGGCATGACAGAGCTGGCTCTGCATCTTTGGCAGTTTTTAAATAACCACAGTCTTTAATTAAAATTGATGCTATGAAACATAAGCCACATGCCCCTTGGCTGCTCGTCGTGCTGTAGACCCACAAAGCATGTGAGTCCCAGATTGAGAAGCCAGACACTGGAACATTTTTTTCTGGCAGCCATCCCTGCTCTAGGATGGTCTTTTTCACAGCATTGTTTGTCATGAGGCTCTCAGGGAAATGGACGGACACCGTCTGTGACTCCACCTTGGAGAAGACTTAGTGCGGAGTGTCAGTCACCGACAACAACAGTTACATGGGTCTCCTTCCCCAAATGCAGAGACAAAGCCTTTATAAAAGGCTTTGCTGAGCCTCACACCTAACCAGATACATCTGTACGAGCTGTGAGCAGGTGGAAAGGTCTCGTTCCTTTTAGGACAGCCATTAATGCCGTTCTGCCTGTCTGTTTAGAGTGTGGTCATGGCTGTGGGCATCCTTGCTATTAAATATTACTTCTGTGAAAACACTTGTATTTTACTAACATGAGCTTCCCCTGGCATCTTGACTACCATAGTGTTGTGTTGACGCATTGTGAAATTGATATCAATGCCGAGTTCTTTACCTTGTTGCAATAGAAAAGGAGAAAATAATAACTGTGAACAGATTTATAGTCTTCTGATTCTCCTTGGGCATGTTCAGTGCTTGTCAGTATTGTGATTTTTGGTTTTTTATTTGCCACGGTAGTCTGGCGTGTTTCCCAGGCTATTCTGAATCTTCTGCTCAAGCAGTCTCAGCCTCCCAAACAGTGGCATTGCCCATTGATGCAGCATTCCTTCTGTATTCTAGATGGTCCTCAGTCACATGTACTGTGCCGAGAGCTCCATGAGAAACTGTTTGTAATCAGAGCCTAGCATGAGCTTTGGGGGTTGTGCTTAGAAAAGTCCTAAAGGACTTTGAGAGCTCTGACCTACTTGCTCACAAAGTTACCCAAGTGGTCCACGCACGTATTCTTGTGTCCAGTAACCCTGAAGGATAAAGCACCCAGTGTGTGCGGCAGTGACATCTGTCTCCCCTGTTGCTGGAGCTGACACAGCCTTTCAGTCCTCTCCTCTGTCTATGGATGTGTGCATGTGGACATTTTATATAACAAAAATAGACCAGTTCAGAAACAGACTTGAAATTGCTTTATTTCAAACCTGCTGACTTTCATAGGGTGGGAAGCTGGCTTCGTACTTGCTTGTCATTTCATCCTGCTGTTTTATTGTTTCCTCTACTTGTTGGTTTTATTGTTTACATTTTTTGATTTTGTTTTTCTTTTCCATCTCCAGGAAACAATTATGGAGCTACAGGTAAGATTAGTTCTTCATTGAAGTTTCCTAAAGCTAGTACATTTTAGGAGCATGCTCCTCCCCACCCCCTCCTTTTTAACAAGTTAAAACGTAAAGCTCCTGTTTCTCCAAAGAAAGTTTTTTGCAGGCAGTGTAGAAACATGTCTAGGAATTGATGAAAGACACTAATCTCAGTCTGGCTTTTGTTCTTTTAGACACAGCTAGCCCAGAAGACCACTCTGATCAGTGATTCCAAGTTGAAGGAGCAGGAGTTGAGAGAGCAGGTACTGGCCAGTGCAGCTTCTGTTGATGTGTACATGGATTTCCCCCCCTTTTTTTTTGTTTTTTTGGAGCAGGGTTTCTCTGTGTAGCCCTGGCTGGCCTAAAGCTCACTTTGTAGACCAAGCTGGCCTCAAACTCACAGACATCTGCCTGCCTCTGCCTCTGCCTCTGC